GCATGGGACCATGCGTGCGGTCTGTCAAATAAATGCCTTCCAGGAAATTCCCCTGAACCCCTGAACTGATCTGGGTGATTTTTGGATATGTTGGTCACCCAGATAAGGGCTCTCAGTGGATGTAACTTTTGTGGGGGTTTTATGTGTTTTGGGGGTACTTTTGCGGTGTTTGGGAAAAAGTGTGTGTAACGGACCGGTTTGCACACAAGGGGTAAAAACCATTTAGGCAATCGTCCCCCTTTCCAGAGATGCAGGCACAGTTATTGTAAAACACCAAACACACGAACCGCCAATAAGTGAATGCTCCAAACTCCCGAACGGCATCCAATATAGCACTCCAAACACACGAACAGGAACCATACGAATTGCTGCTAGCAGACGAATAGGAAAAGCATCCAAGCGGCTTACACTCCTAGCAATCAGTCTCGTTCAGCATTCAGTAAATCCCCCCAAAGACGAGACAAGGCTCCGTGTTGAGGGTCAAGCAGTGGTCTGTTTAATGAGGGCTACCTGCCCAGTATTTATGAAGGTCTCCCACCTGGTGGACACTCCCCTAGGGGACCAAATGGTAGACTGTGACAAGGGACAGAGAAGCAGACAAATAGGACACACAGTCACAGTATATCCCCACAATGCATCCTGGCTTCCTCCCCTCTGCCTTGGAGATAATTGAGAAATAATTCAATTATCTCCCAAGACAAAGGCAAATCGCCTTTATGCACGTGGGGATACTAAAACAGGAATTACTATTAAAATACACTATGTGAGACACATTACATTAAAACTATACATTTAACATGTCCCCAGGTAGCTCAGGTCTGAGCGCACATTATTAAGCGAATGGCGCTCAGACCACACGAATACAGTTTAATCGCCATGGAGCCAAAGTCTTTACAGTCAGTTTCATGCGAATGGGCTCCATGGGATTCCTATCTGGGGTATAACACATTCAAACAAAACTACCGAACACCGGGCCGTTCGTGCACTTTCACCAAACAAGAAGGGAGGTCGGCGGCTTCAGCGCTGTTCGTGCAAAACTGTGTCAGATTTCAGTTCCATGAATTAAAGCGGCACTGTCATGCCGAACTTACCTTTCCTCAATATCTTCTTCTTCTCCCCCTCTCTCAGGATCTGTTATTCTTTTCTTCCTGTCTTCTTTAGTTTTCTTTAAAATCATAAGACAAAGTAGGGACTCTTTGCCTTATGGAGGATTCCTCCGCTTGACCAGCTCTGACCAGCGGAGGAGCAAAGTGTGCTTCATTTCCGCTGGTCAGAGCAATTTTCCCATGATCCTTACCTTTCCTCTCTGTTCCCGCGATGCTTCCTGTCATTTTAGACGAAACTGACGAATTGCGTTCTAACTGAATGAGAACAGTATGTTCGTTTCTTTTAGAATGCAATTCAGCACTTTATTCGGATCGGAATTTCATTCTAATGAATGAAACTCTGATCCTATTCATTGCCGCGGCTGCATCTTGCAGACGCTTAGTAGATAACTCCCTAATTCCCACGGTATCAGGGAGCTATCTACTAAAAGGCTGAAAGACCTAAATTGGTCTTTCAGCCACATTTACTAATACTAAGTAAAGATTACTTAGTATTAGTAAATAATATGCCCCTACTTTGCCTGCTATATCGCGAGTAGGGGCATGTGTAGTAAGCAGTGAGCCGCTTATAAGCCTTGACCCGCCCTGCGGAGCTCAGTACGCGGCGTGCCCTCGAAGGGCGAACATGGATTAATTTTTTTTTTTTTTTTTTAAAGTGCGACTGGTATGATGGATTTTTATTTGGCCTTTTTGGGGGCTGAAGAAAGAAGATTTTAGAAAAAAGAAGACGTCAAATGGTAAGTTTAATTTTTTTTTACAGGTTAGTTATTTTATTCCCCCCTCACTATTTTTAGGGTGAGGGGGGTAGGTAGGGGATAGGTTTTTTTGGGTGGGGGGTGACTAGGGGCTTGGGACCCCTAGTCACCTTGATTGGGGGGGGTGTTTCATTTAGGGCCCCCACCCACCGCTCAGGGGTAGGGGCCAGGGGGGGAGGACAGTAGGTCCCCCCCTTATTGTTTTATTAGGGACCCCACCCACCGCGCAGGGGTGGGGGCCGGGGGGGGGGACAGTAGCTAAAGAGGCTGGGTTACATTGCTGAAAACAGAAAAACATTTTACAGCATTGTTCTTTACAGGAAAACTGCACAGTATTTTAAGAAAAGAAACTAACCACAGGTATTTGAACTTATTAGCTTTAATATAATATAATATATATATATTTAGTTGCCTTAGGTGTCCCTTAAAGTTGTTGCTCAAGTTGGTTCTTACATTGTTTATATTATCCTTTGCAGCTGTTGATGCAAATATTTCATGCTGTTTTTATGGGTCACAGAGAAAAACTCTTTACTCTGTTCAATTTGAATGCTCTTCCCATGTATGTACGTAGTGGGGAATTGCGATGCAGCCTATAACAAAACTAACCCCATTCAACCCCGCAATAATGACAGACCACTTAGTGGATGGATGAACAGGCCACAGTGCAATTTATTATCACATAAAAACATAAATTACTGCATAACACATCCATAACTTTATGACTCTTTTTCTGTAACCAAAACGTTAGAGATAAATAAGCATAAATTAACATATATACATATATAACTCCAGACCACATAGTGTTATACAGTAAGACCCAACCCCGTCCTTGCCAATAAACATACAGTGGTTCCTAATCACCACTTCCTCTCACCTCCCCCCTCGTCATAAAATCATATCTTTCCAATGCCCGCCATCAGCCGACCTTATCCACGCTCGATGGGCACGACACCTCAGGCAACCTAATGTTAACCTTTTGAAGCAGGGGAGGTTGAGACCTTAAAAACTTGTTCATCTCATTCCATATACTTAAACGTAACCCCTCAAACTCAATTGGCAAGGACATACCCCCGCCACAACCACACTGTTTTACACCTAAAATCAGCGGGGGACCCCACCACAACCAGCCATGGCCTGTTCCACCACTGCTAGCAGTGCCAGATCAACATAGAATAAGTACTGCACCAGGAAATTAAATGACCATTCGTGATCAATCCAATAACACAACATAGCGCAAAATATATACATACATATATACACATACATATACATAATGTTAGACTCCTTATGTAGCGTAAAACTCACAGGATTTAAAGCCGTCCCAGGCTCTATATAATGTGCAGGAGGGTGCCTAAAAAGGCTAAACGATATCCTTGAGGAGAGCAGCACAGGATACAAAGTGCAGACTCCAAAATTTATTGCACAAATAAACAATTAAAACAGGGACAATATGCAGTGAATAAATAGTAAAATATACTAGGCACAAAGCCTAAATAAAACAGCAGAGGAAACAAGAAAAATACCAGATACAATCCTTTGATATAGCAGCAATCGCGTTTCATCTCCAGCCGGAGTCGTCCTCAGTGCACCATCAACATAGGCCTCATCCGACCTCCAGCAAGCGCACCCACAAATAAACAATTCCCCCAAGCCAAAACAAGAAACCCACCTCGACCGATTCCCGACTGCAGCGCACCAGGGCACTCACATTGCTGAGCGCACTGCCAACAGGAACAGGTGATAGCCTCAGCCCGGCCCCCTGAGAACCTCTGGTAAGACACAGAATGTGTAACATGTCCAGATTCCAGAGCACCCTCAGATTAGGCACAAAGCCTAAATAAACACCACCGACCACAGTAACTGGTGAGAAACAAGAAGAAATGAACCAGATGACAATCCTGGTGGCGACCGTAGCCATCCCAAACCAGAATAAATGCCCCTCGAACACCCCACCAACTTTCAGGCAATTGATGGAAACCTGCAGTGCCTCCGATCAGAACGGAATTTGTCAGGCCATCCTGGGAACCCGTTACACCGTGTTAGGAGCCCAACCATTACCCCGTCCTTAGGAGAAAGCGGAAAAGCCAGGGCAGTCGACCCCTAAACATCCAAGAACACATCCATTGACATCAGCCACAGCAACTGACTTACCCGTCCCAACGACAACAGCAGTCCGAAATAAGTCCGTCCACCAAAACACCCCACCACTTGCCGACAACTGTAACCTGAACAGGAAGCCAGCCCTGCCCCAGAAATCACCCCTAGCGCCCCCAACAGACGGTACCAAACATGTAGATGAGCAGTCCACGGAACCTACAAGGAAACGTCCCCATCCGTCCCACACCCATACAGTGGGCCCCAGCCGCCTCATAGGGCGACCCACGGACCAGCTTCATCAACGTTGGACCAGGCGACCACCTCCACTGATCGACCCCGTGACACCCCCCGAAATGCCCAATAATGACCAAGAAGAGTGTCGGCCACCACCTACCCGGACACAAAAACCTAAGACCAGCCGCCCTAGATTCCCAAGCCACTGTAACCCTGGGGTAAAGTGTACTGTTACATGACAAGACAGCCCGCACTGCCCCACGATGGTCCCAAAGGAAAACCCACCTACCTGTTCTAGAGCTGGGCACCCCATGCCTACCATGCCACCAGAAAGGGGAAGCTCCAAGAACCCCAAAGCCCGCCAGAAAACCGATCCTTGCCAGTGTAATGGGCAAGAGTCAGCACACCATTGAGAGCCCAAATTGGCCCAAAACCCCCCAAAACCTACGGATATAGCCTGGGCCACGGAACTCCGAAACTCATAAAACTACCCCAGGAAAAACACTGTAGCAGCAGAGTGCGGACATGCTGCACCGACGGCCCTACGCATAAATGACATCGGGAGCAACCTACATGAAGGCACAGAACCACCCAATCCTGACCGTCGGGAACACAACCTGGAAACAATAAACCCGACCGGCAGCAGCCGTAAAACTGATTCCACAGCCGCCTTTGTCAGCAAGGCCCTGCAACCCCACCCACGCAGCCCGCTGCGCCGAGCCATCATCCCAAACCTAGCCCCTGGAAGGAAACGACAACTGAGCAAATAAGTAATCTGGAGATACTAACCCTGCTCCTCCTTCTTGGGCACCACAGCGAACTCCAGGGGTACCCTAAACGACTGGGAAGTAAACTTATAAGCGTGCTTGGTAAACTGGACCCACATCACCCGATGGAGCTCCCACATAAACTGAGGGTCCCCATCCCGACCGATTGCAGAGAGGAAGGAAAAACACGCTATGCTGAGGGGCTAGGTGAGCCCCAAAGAAAACCAGCGGCAAAACCCATCCGGCCCCAGGCCAAGAAGGGTCGCACTGCCAACCGTTGATGAAAGTGCAAAACGTACCTCCACCAACCCAGCTTATCACAGGGACGATACGTGTCCCGAGAGTGTCCTGACCGCTGAACCACGCAGCGCCGACTCGGGGAGCCCTGTCCGATATGTGCCCTGTATATGTGCTCCCCACGACCATCCCTGAGCCCCTAATGTCCCCCTTAGTCAAGGGACCCCCGTGGCAGGAGGGAACAGCTTTCGATACAAAACCCCATTCTCCATCCGCTCCCTAGCGTTACGCGCAAGCCAAGCGGGCCACATGAGCTCAGCAGCCCAGAGTCACGTGAACTTGGGAGGCATCGCCGGCGCTATCAGCTGCGCCAGACGCTGCGGGAAAGCGTACCTAAAGGTATAATACATACTGAAAAAGGAAAGGGGGTACCTAAATTTTGTTTTATCGTGGATTATATATATATAATTGTTTTATTTTATTCTTTTTATATATTGAATTCTCCCCCTTGTACTTGACGTTGGATTCCTTTATTTATTTATTTTTTTTGTTATTTTTTTTTATTTTTATTTTATTCCAATAGGTAATTTACCTTGTATTTCTGTCCTGCAATTTCTTCCTTGTCTGTATCAATTTTTTTTATTTTTTTTTAGGAAGAAAGGAAGAAAGAACGTACACACGCGAAGCGCTAAAAGAAGGGAAATGTACTCACCGGACGCAGCCTGGCGATCCAAGCCCGGCACGGCGCTCACAGAAGGCTAAGGCAAAGAAACAGCCGTTCCAGCATCCACAGAAGACATCAGCTGTGATCCAGGCGCCACCTGCCGGACGGACCCATGAACTGCAGCAGCATGCTGAGAAGGAAGCAGCCGAGAAGCTGAGCCCACGCCCCAGAGGAGATGGCCGAGGTAAGTGACCTGGGGGGGGGGGAGAGGCAAGGTAGAAAAGGGGGGGAACAAAGGGGCCCAGGCAAGGGAAAGTTGGACCCCCTGGAAGAAATAAAGCCAGCCAACCAGCCAAATAGGGAGGGAGGGAGGGGAGACAGAGCCCTGGGAGCCTTCCTCACTGGCAGAGGAGGCTCCCGACTGGCAAGGGGACTCCCCCCCAGCGGCCCGCGAGGGCCCACTCACCTCCCCGCCGGGCACGGGGGAGCTGCACAGTTGCCGGGCGGCCACCCGCCGCCCGGATCGCGGGATCCGCCGCCCACCGCCCCCCGGCCCGCAATTCAGCACTGGCAGCCGGGGCGGATGGTGTGGAGGGGGGGAGAGGGGAGTAGGCCGCACGGCAGCCGCACCAGGAGGCCGCGCGGCAGTTGCAGGCCGCATCCCCGGCCTGGAGGTAGTGGGCGGCCCAGGAAGGAGCAGGCTGGGCGGCCATGGGGGTAGCAGGCCGCGCGGCAGTGGCAGGCCTCGTGTCTGAAGGCCGTGCCATGCGCGTGGCCACAGTAGGCCTCAGATCCCAGCCCCCCAGTAGTAGGCCACGTGTCTGCAGCCCCAGACACGCGGCCCCCGCGGTGCCCCGGACCCAGGCTCCTGCTCCTCACCGGGCCCGGGGAGTAGGATCCAGGGACAGCCTGGCAGGCGGGTGGGAATGCCTGCCAGTGCTGGTGCGGCCCCCAGGGGCAGGGGCCGCATGGGAGGCAGCAGGGGAGACCGCAGGGGGTGCCCCAGGGGGAGGGTAGGCCGCGGGGGGTGCCCACACCGGCAGCCATACCTCCAGTAATGCTTGTAAATTGCCTCCACAGGTGCCGGCCACCATCCAGCGCAGCAGCAGCCCTGAGGGAAGCCAGGATCGCCTCAACCTACATCCCTCAAGCTGTGTCAGTCTGCAGGCCCAGGCAAACAGGAAGCTGTTTGCTGGCCCGAATCCCAAGTGGCACTGAGGTAAGACCTCCCCCACACTAGCTTACACAGAACATAATCCCACCCACACAGTCTTTCTCATCCAATCCCATGCATCTATCCCCACACTCCTACATGTGCCCTTGTCCGCTTAGCTGCGCTATCTCCCCAGGGCCTAATTTGTCATCACACATTTCCAATAAATCAAATATTAGGAAATTCCCAATTTTCTTCTAGTGGATCTTAATAAAAGCTGCACAACTGAAGGTAAATAAAGGCTGGTTCTTGAGCCACTACAGTACATTAAATTAATCCATTGGCAGACATTTCATCATACATAATGATAACAACAACTTTAAATCTATTAAGAAAACTACATTAAAGGGACTCTCCAGTCCCAGGAAAACAATCCGTTTTCCTGCACTGCAAGTCCCCTCTCCCTCCCACCCCCCATTCCCAGTTGCTGAAGGGGTCAAAACCCCTTCAGTGACTTACCAGAGACAGCGACGATGTCCCTCAGCACTGCTTCTTGGTCCGCCCACGCTCCTCCCAGTCACCACGTCAGCCGGCCAGGGAGACTGATCACGCCCGCCGGCGGGGGAGACCTAATACGCATGCGCAGCAATGCCGCGCATGCGCATTAGACCTCCCCATATGGAAGCATTGAAAATGCTTTCCTATGGGAATTTTAGCGACGCTGGAGGTCCTCAAATAGCGTGAGGACGTCCAGCGACGCTCTAGCACAGAAAACCTGTGCTGTAGACAGCCACTACAGGAGGAGTTAACACTGCAAGGTAAATATTGCAGTTTATAAAAACTGCAATAATTACAGTTGCATGGTTAAGGGTAGTGGAAGTTGGCACCCAGACCACTCCAATGGGCAGAAGTGGTCTGGGTGCCTGGAGTATCCCTTTAAATCTATTGACAAAACAAAATCCGAAATGATAAGTAAAATAACACAGTTATTAGTGTGTACCAATTTACAGATTACTGTGTGACGTGATCCTTTTAGCACACTACAGTAGACATATTGTTTTCTCTAATTAGCTTGTGTAAACCTATACTATATTTTCTAGTTTATTGGATTGGTTTGATAAATGTCTTATATTCCATACCCTGTACCATAGATACATTGCACATCTTTAACATGAGTATTACTCTTAGAATATAGCAGGCTCACATGAAAATATTAAACTAATTCAAAGTACATTTATAATTCAAGGTACAAATAGACAAACTGTAAACATTGTCTAACTCAGCTATGCTTCCAGTTAAACTACTTTAGACTTACATTTTAAATTCACTAAAATGCCTTTTGAATTCCCACTTTAGTGAATAACCCTGTATATGAGTATATAGACAGTTAAAGACAGGGCCGGACAGGCCCACCGGAATACCGGGAATTTTCCCGGTGGGCCGCGGCACCTAGGACTGGGCTGACAGCCCTAATCATCACTGATCAGGCAAATGTAATTTAAATGATTCTCCCCTCAGACTGTGCCAGCCTGTGTCAGTCCGAGGGAGGAGCTAGGGGCAACTACTCTGCCTGCGGCCGGAGGTAGACCTGTCAGTCTCTCTGCACAGTGTACAGCAATTACGGCCGCATGCCCTGCCTCACACTTAAGCCACACCTCACGAACACAAGCCTTTTCCCCAGACGGAAGCTGTTGACCTTGCTGGAATGAAAAGGGCCAGACATTAACACCTTCACCTCCCAGTGCCAGGTTAGTTTTGCGTGTGTGCTAGTGAGTGAGCTTCTCTGTGTGTGTGTGTGTGTTTGCATCTGCTAGTGAGTGAGCTTCTGTGTGTGTGTGTGTGCGCATCTGCTAGTTATTGCGCTTGTGTGTGTACCTGCTAGTGAGTGAGCTTGTGTGTGTGTGCATCTGCTAGTGAGTGAGCGAGCTTCTGTTTGTGTGTGCATCTGCTAGTTTGTGAATTTCTATGTCTGTGTGTGTGTGTGTGTGTGTACCTGGTAGTGAGTGAGCTTCTGTGTGTGCATCTGCTAGTGAGTGAATTTCTATGTCTGTGTGTACCTGGTCGTGAGTGAGCTTGTGTGTGTGTGTGCACATCTGCTAGTGAGTGAGCATCTGCTAGTGAGTGAGTTTGTGTACCTGGTAGTGAGTGAGTTTTTGTGTGTATGTGTGTGTGTGTGCATCTGCTAGTGAGTGAGTGAGCTTCTGTGCATCTGCTAGTGAGTGAACTTCTGTGTGTGTGTGCACATCTGCTAGTGAGGGAGTTTGTGTGTGTGTGTATGTGCCTGCTAGTGAGG